TCAGGATGGATGGTGAAGTGATTGAGATTGTATACAGCTTCAGTTTGCTCGGCTCCATAGTCAACACTCTTGGTACCAGCAGTCAGGAAATCAAAAAGCGTATCGCGATGGGAAAGTCTGCTGTTAGACACCTCTCTAACATACTCCTCTCTAAAGTATTAATATTAGTGTTTTAATTATTTTGTTTTTGCTTTTGATTGTCTTCAAGTCGTGCACGCCTCATAGCGACCCTGTGAACAAAAGTCCTGAAGCCCCTCTACAACTGTTGACATTTATTAAAGTTTATAGAGTTTCCGGAGGCATGTTGTTTAGGAAGTGGATGCCACTCCTGCTTCCAAACCTGTCGTAGAATGTTGAGTCACCTGCGACATTGCAACCCTACGTACAGCAACTCTGACCCCTTCCCTGTCGTGAGCCAGTCTCACTAATTCTGACACACCAACCCCCATTGCCCCGTCACTGAGTCAATCCATCTCATCTGGGGTCTTCCTCTACTACGCTGTCTGTCCACGCTTCCGAGCATGATATCCTTTTCCAAGGACTGATGGCCACGTTCCCAAAGTAAATGAGGCAGAGTTTCAAAATCCTAGCCTCCGAAGAGAGACTTAGTTTTACCCTCTCCAAGACAGACTGATTTGTTTCCTTGGCAGTCATGGCATGTTCTCATTTATGCATTGTAATAATACAAAAAATAAAATAAAAAAATGGAGAGAGAGTTGCAGTAGAAAATACAATGTTGAGAGACTGATCTTTTTTTTTAAATTATTTTTTTAAGGATCATTATGACTTCATCGGCTTCAGGAATATATGGCAACTTTGGCCAGTCAGGTTACAGTGCTGCAAAACTGGGTCTTCTAGGCCTAGCAAATACTCTTTCAATTGAAGGCAAGAAAAACAACATTCATTGTAACACTATTGCCCCTACTGCTGGATCAAGAATGACAAAGACTGTTTTGCCAGATGGTAAGTAAGCTTTGATTTTCCAGCACTGTTATTTTCCAATCTATGAAGGGTGAACTTTCAAAATTATTTTATTTTAGGAAAAATTATTTTCTCTGAAATTTAAAAATA